AAACGTCCTAGTCCCTGCAGGAATTGATTGCTGAGGCAAGAAGAGGAGACACAGCTGTGTGGAATGCAGGCATTTCTGCCAGCACATTCCTGGATCTGGTGTAAGCTGGCATGAGCTGAGAGGAGGAGAAGATGGAGAAGGAAAAGGTCAGCAGAAGATCTTCGAGAGACCCTCAAAAAGGGTGAAGGGTGACTGAAGTACTTATATACTCTCAAAAAGCACCTGCTCTAAAGCCACCACCCTGCACCCAGCACACATTCCCTCCTGCTGCAAGACATTTGATCCCTTTCTCTGACTAGCCTCTCCTCAAATCTCCCACATCCCAGAGGGGTGAAGAAGAGAGCTGCCCAGGCTCTCCACCCACATTCCCTCTTGCCCAAGGCTTAAGAACCCACTCTGAATTCCATGCAGCTCAAATACTAACCACCTCAAAATAACTTATCGGACCTTTCTCCTCTGAGCCCTTGGATGTGTTGAACRAACCTCAGTAGCCCTCCATGCACATGCACCTCCAGCATCTCTAACCCATGGAGCCCCAGGCTGTGATAGAGTAGCAGTGAGCAACGCCCGGGGACAACTGCCAGTCTGCATTCCTTCTTGCTAAGGCAAGCAAAACATTTGAAGCTAAATCTTTGGAGCAAAACATTTACAGGAAAAGGATTTCAATCAATCACTTCAAACCACCTGCTTATTTAAATCAGGCCAAAACACTGTAAAATTTATTTGAAAAATTACTCTTTTGCAAACTTGGGCTGAAGTCAACATGCTACAAGTGAAGTGTGCTTATTGCATTTTCTAAGGCCGCTCCTCTTCAGGTCAGGCCTAGTCCAAACCCAAATCTGCTTCAGAGAGTGAGGCCCTGCAACAACTGCCTGGGGGGACCAGGAAGCCTTGCAGAACAGGCTACAGAAACATCCATTAGGAATGACAAAGGTTTATCGATCTTGCCCAGGGGTTACAGCAACGGATTCAATGACCTGTCCAAATCTCTTCCACTTCTGAGATTCTATGAAAGAGCAATACTGATCTTGGGAAAAAAGGGAAGCTTTACTCTTTGGAGTATCCCTACTGATGCCAGTGTCATTGACAGGTTAAGCAAGCATGTGAGGTTTGAGATACCTCAAAAACACCTAATTTTTATAAAAAAGCCACTTGCTTCCCTTGTAAAAGATGACAAAAACTTCAGTCACAAAGAACATACCTTCCAAAGCAGTAACCTGAAAAACTTGTTTAAGAAAGCTGCATTGAGCTGAGATTTCCTAAACCTGTTCTTCAGAAGTGATGTATAGCTATTTTCACCTCAGTCAGGAGGAGTAAGATGTTCATTTGTACCCAAGTTACTTCAGACCCTGACTCCCACTGATTYGAAAACTCCTAAAGATTGATGGCAGTTTTCTAGGAAAATTCAGTTCAGTGAAACATTGATGGTTGTATATATAATGAGAGTCGTTTGCTTATCCACTTCATGTTTGAGTTTGGGGTATTTGCACTGTCAGGATGTTTTCCAGCACAGATGATCATTTTAATCTGAAACTTCTCAGAACAACAGTGTACAATTAGCAATCCCCTTGCCAATTAGGAAAGGAAGAAAGAAATCCAAGACACTTTAGCAATCTAAGTCTATATAAACGGAGAAAAGCAAAGAACTAGTTATATACGAATATACTTTAAAAACAGGGAACATAATTTCTATTTAGGAACATGCTTTTTATATCCTGGCTCRGTACAATAYATATATACACACACACACACAYATATAAAGTTTRTATTATATATACATATATACACAATGTATGTAAAGTAGTTTTGGTTGTAATTCAGCCCTGCTTATTTGCCTGCTGAAGAGCCACTGTGAGATTTCCAGCCTAAAGAAAGTGCATGTGACTGCTCTCCAGGACGAAGGGAGTTGTGATGGGAGCAGAGTGCCCAGCAAGGACACGTGAGCAGTGATGCTGAGCTCATGGGCAGCATCTCCGTCCCTCTGCTTGGCCACYGCAGAAAGGTCAAGCATATGGCAGGCACGTGGGGGGCTTGAAGGAAGAGAAGCTCTTCCTCCTCCTCCTACCAATTTTTTGGAGCCAGCACATTGTAAGCCAAGTCTCCAGCTGCCTTTGCTTGGGAAGGGACARGAAGAACAAGGGCGTTTTTATCTGAAATCAAACAGGACGCTGCACTCGCATGGCCAATCCTTTGATGCGATACAGCCGGCTTCAAAGCTACCTGGGTTTTGCATTCAGGGCTAGTCTCAGTTACTAGTGCATCAGACTGCAACTGTRCAAGCTTATGGGATGCCTGTTAGAGGCTGAGGAAATAATCCTGCATAAATATGTGCAACAGGCCATGCCAAACAAAACAAAAAAAAAATACACATAACATATGAAACAGGAGTATATCTATCTCTAGTGCCCATATATTCCTGGAATTGAAGCATGCATGGAAGAAGACAAGAAGCTTTCAGAACRTGCAGTGGACCTTTGCACTTTCCTAGTGAAGGCACATCTCAAACCTAGCCCACAAAATCAGTATGACATTTTTTGTCCTTCCTGTTACATAACTGCATGAGAGGACTAGTGAGAGACAGAGACACCAGCGACACATTTGCAACACCAGTCTGGACCACACGGGCAGGCTGAAATGAACTTTCCTCCCAGCCAAAACTACACACTACTCACATCAGTAACTTCCCAAACAATTTGCACGAGAGTGGCCACGTTGGTCACCCTAGGATGCCCCAGGGCCCCTCTCAGCAACAGCCACCTGGTTTGCTTGCTGTTCAGCTGCATCCTGGAGAAGCAGCATGCCAGGGTCAGGACATGAGCAGTCCTTTTATCGGGAAAGGGACCTTCCAAGACACACGAGCATGCAGCAACCGCATTTCCACGCTCTCAATCTCTGTTTTCAAAGGTGACRGACATTGCCAAGCCAGACAGCAGAGGCGGCAGCCCCTGCTCTGCTCCGGCAGGCACTCCTTGCACTGAAATATRGGATTCTATTTATATGGTCAGAACAAACATTATCTCATAGCCCATGCTCTGATCTGCCGCTGCACCGTGTTAAAAAGTCATTAGCACCTTTCGGAGCAGCAGTCAGCGGTGCACGCCAGCAACCACGTCCTCCAGCATTGCAGGGGGACAGAAACTCTCAGCCCAGACACATCAGTGCGAGGACAGAACACTTTCCGCACCAAGCCTGCCCCGCCGACAAGGGCTCGGAGAGAGACCACACTGGAAGGAAATTCAGGGACTGGTCAGGGCAGAGCTCAGCAGTGGCAGAGCCTGCAAAAAGAGAAGATGCAGCAGGAACCGAGTGCCACAATAGCTGACTTTCCTTCTTGCATCTCAGCCCAAATACAGCAATGCTGTTTTCAGATCTAGCTGCTTCCTCAACCACTTTAGAAATTTGCAGCAGAACAACTCTTCCACCCTGCCTGTCCACAGAGAAGCTCCAAGGCTCTGAAGGAAAACCTGGAAGGAGAGAAGTGAGCACTGATAAGAGAAGTACTGTTGAGGATAGATAAAGCTAGAGTCTACAAGGGTATCTGCCATGGGGAATGGGTAAAAAGCATCRGAGAAGGCTCCCAGCTGTGGGAAAAGAGGACCAGTAATTGCTGCAGGATGTAGCAATTACTGAGACAGGGGAGATGTCAAGGTTTATTAACAGCTCTGAGTAGAACACACATAGTTTTTAAGTTTGTGTCTTTACAAAGGAGGAAATTGCTCCCCATTCTTTGGCTGATGAGCAGGACAAAGGAATATATGAAGGTGGGAGACAGAGCGGAGCCAGGAGTGAGGGGGCAAAGGAGTCAGGTGAGCTCAGGTGAGAACAGATGGAGGGAGGCAGCGAGTTGGGTGCAGGCGGCCGGGCAGGCTCTAACTTCCGAGTGCCTTGGCCGATGGGGAAAAGGCAGCGACTACCTCCATTGGGGAAATTAGGATAAAAAGGGGGGCTGCATCCTCTAGCAATCTGAGACACCCCACAGGGGAGTATGCCTGGTGGACTCTGCCTTTATTAAAGTTTTAGGATTCCTATCTCCTTTTTGGACATTCAGTTCTYGACAGCAAGATTTTCCACACAGCTCTGCTTGGACGGCTTGGTTAAATCTGTCCTGATCTACAGGGCAAGAAGGACTCCGCTGTGCACTCCTCACTCTTCCAGCCTTTCCAACCCTGCTAGGGGACCAGGTGGGAGCTGCAAGAACGTGGCAAGGACCACCACGGAGCTGTGAGCCCAACTGGGCTTGCRACTTCACTGACTGCTACAGAAACCTTAATTTTGCAGATTCCTGCATATCCTGAGGGTGCACAAGGGGAGAGGTTGGCAAGAAAAATTTATATGCAAAATTACTCCTTAAAAAACACTACCTACGCCCAAGCTGAGGATATAAGTCTTCTGGATAAGATGTCTGGAAAAAACACACAGCAACCTCCAGGCCTGTAAAACTGAACGCAATGCAGTCTCTGGGATATCCCCATGGTCTGGTCTGCCTAGTAGTTTAGAGCCCATCCCTGGGCTTCCAACACAATAAAGGCCTGGTGCTAGAAGGGGCAGTGATAGCATTGAGACACCTGAGCTATGAGCTCAGAAAAGCTGAAGGTTTTCTGAAATTGAAGGTCCTACCCCAGAGGGAAGGGCCTCTTGCCCATGGGAGCCAGCAAAGCTGCAGCAAGCAGGACCCTGAGACCTGCAGCTCCAGACCAGCAAGGTCATTTTTCCAAAGGGAGAGCAAGGGACGAGCAGATGCACCACGATAACCCAGAGGCTCCCCCTCTGCTGGGAAAGGGACGGCTGGCAGAAGATCCATGGCTCGCCTACCCCTCAACACACTTCCACCAAATCTACTACGCTTCCAAATTCCAGCTGCCTAAGCAATTTTTTTGCTAATATTTCCTCTTTCCTCACAATCATTTGGCTAATAAGATGAGCGGGTTGGGTTCATTTATTTTGGATGCTGTTCTTGGGTCATTAGCAGAAAGGCTAATGATCGTATTGGCGGAAAAATCTCACTTCTCCTTCAGAGCTGGCTGCAGAGCAAGGGGAGGGGCAAAGAGAGCGGGAGTTAGGCAGAGCCTTAAAAATAAAAGATTTTTTAAAAAGTTACACGCCTCTGGAAGTGGAATTTTCCTCCRCTATTTCCCAAGACATCCATGGCTAAGATGAAGCAGGCAGACTTCAGTGCCCAAGGCTGCTTTTCAGAGCTCGCGCTCTMCCACGCAAGGGCCATCCCCAAAGACGCAGGGAGGCAGAGCTGCTCCAACAGCGGCSCATTGGGAAAAGCCTTTTCCTTGCCAATTCCAGTGCCCATTCTTCACCCCARGACACCTAGGCAGGAATCCAGGTGCCTGAAAACACAAGGCTCTAGAGTCCTTCTAGGTTGGTTTGAGGTTGCGAGAGACTGATGCACGTTGGATATCCAAGCTCCATGACTGACACATGAGCACATGGCTACTTGTACATGGCCATTGAGATGTCTGAAGAGCAACCTGCACGCTGGGTTGCTGGTGGGACGCTGAGCTGCAGGGCTCAGTTTGCAAAACAGACCACAAAACTAAGCCCCCTGCATCTCTACTGCAGGAAACCAGGGGGCATAGAAGTGAATCAGCATCCCATTGCCCTCCACAAACATGATGGCCTGGCCAAGCACAGCCCACTGCCTAGGCTCAACCCGAGTGCAACCATCTCTGCAAGGGCACAAGCAGCCCAAGAAAGCATCTCAGTCCGTGGATTCGCTYTGCCCTTCTGGATAGATGCAAAGCTGCTCCCCCCTACTCTCACCTCATCTTTCTACTGAAATAGATGCCTCCGTCACTGCATGACCTGGCAAGGGCAAGAACCTGGAGTGGGGGAACAGTTGCTGGTCTCAGCACAGGCAACCTCCTCCTCACGCGGTTTCGGGGGCAGCAGCTGTGCTTCAGCTGCTTCATCGTCCCAGCCCCACAACATCGTGACTCAGCTCCTCCRGCCAGCGCGCTGGGGATAAGCGCAGCCTTCGGAGCCCTTGGAGCTTTCCGTCGGCCATCGGTCAACTGTGCCCTTCCCCGGAGCCTCCCGGAGCGCTGCAGCAAAGTGCCCACACAGCTCTTGCCAAGCGAGCACTGCAAAGCAGCCAAGGGAGGCGGCCAAGCAGGACTGGAAGGGAGCAGAGGGGGCTGTGAGCAGCGGGGACACGAGAGCATTTGTTCTTTTGCCTTCCTGTGGTGCTGCTCCAGCCGCGGCATCAGACTCAGGCCACCCCGGGCCCAGGGTCTCCCTAGATCCTGGCTCGTGTGGTGGCAAAGCTGGACCTGGGAGAGAGACCAGCAACAAAATAGGAGTTTGAGGTTGCTCTGTGGGGGCTCTTTTACCAGAGAGAAAGAGAAAAAGAAGATTTGGGAGCTAATTTAGAGCTCGCATTTCTAAGCCTTTTCAGAGGCTGCGGCTGTTGGCAGTCGGCTTTACGGCCCCTGCCAGTCTCCGCGGCTATACAACGTCCTTTCATTGGCAAGGGCAGTGATGGGGAAAAAATAACACAGAAAAACAAGGGCCATGTGATGGAGAGCTCGGCCGAAGGCTCCCTCCCCCTCGCAGACCGGCACACCAGGGAGAAAGAGTATGAAAAAAAAGTGAAAAGGGGCCATTTCTATGCATGCACACATAACACCCATATAACACACCAAAAAAAAAAAACCCCCAAAACAATCAAACAAAAAACCCACAAGGTTATTTGTTGTCTTATTAAAGGAAATGGGGACAATCTGAGGGGATGGAGCTATGGCCCCAGGTAACAGGACACGTCTTGGGATGGCTGCTCCTCCCAGCAGGGTATGCAGAGGAGCACCCAAGTCACACACTACTCTCCATGCACCCACATGGCCCTACAGAGCCTGTAAAAGCGGTGCTTCCACCTTGAGATGAGGTGTCCCCATTACCTCATTACCACCCAGATGCTGAGGTGTCCCCATTACCTCAGCAAGTCCCCAGAGAGCATCACTGCCTGGTGTGCAGCTCCAGCTCTGCCCATAGGTCTGAGCACACTGCGGGGAAAACAGGGATTTTGCCTGAAAATCTGTCAAGCCAAGAAGGCAAGCTGGCCAGCACAGACATCCTGGGCACCCTCCCTCCTGTATGGGAGCAGAAGCCCCTCAGAGACATCTGCTCTGCTGGTGGTGGTGCTGCCCAAGGAAGGAGCTCACCAGTGCCCAGAAGGGAGGATTTTTGCCTGCAATATATTCCCTAGCCTGAGCAGCACAGAGCTGGGAGCACCAGTCTCCCAGGGAAGAACAGAGAAGCCTGATATTTTATTGTGTCTTAAAAGAGGGAGGAAAGAAAGGGGACAGACTGGGAAAGAAAAGGGACAGTCCCAGCTGCTTAACCGAGCAGCAACTGGAGCTCAGCACACAAGCCCAAGCCTTGTCCCAGGGCTAAGGTCCGATCCCCTTGCTGCACAGCCACGTTCTCCATTAAACACGATTGTTTTATCTGAGGAAGGAAGAGTAACCTCCACTCTCACCCACTGCAGCAGAACGGGTAATAGCAAAGGTATCCCAGCATGTAAAGCCAACATGACAAGACATCAGCTGTCAGCAGCGATGCCCAGAAGACCAGCAAGGCATGGTAAGATGAAGTGTGATCACTTTAAAACAGTGGCTGGCAGAGACACACAGCACATTACTTTATCATTAACGCTGTTCTTCCCATCTTTGTGCGTTGTGCTGGCAAGCTCCACTACCACATAACTCAAGAGATTCAGCTACCCTGTGCAACCTGAGAAAGCTCGAGCCAACCCTGGAAGCAGAGCGGTCTGCTCATACTTATGCAGCCCTCCCTCTGTGAGGACCAGCTAGGGTGGCAGGGCCAAGACCTCCGTACGGCAGAGCCCTGCGGAGCACAAGTGGCTCCGAGACAACGCTGGTGACCTCTGCCAGCRGCTGCCTCCCACCAGGGCATGTGCACGTAGGGACACGCACCCTTCAAGGACCACCTTCCTCAGGACATAACTCTCCTCTCGGAAGGACGCTGCCGCTCCACAGAGCCCTTGCRCTGCCTTATGGAGCCTCATCCCATCGTGTGAGCAGGTCGTCGAGTTCAAATCATTAATTTCTGTGGCAGAGAGAGTCTGACAGGCCCGGCGCTGACATGAATAATGATGGATTTCCAGGAGAGGCCAAGCAAAACCTGAAGCTTAATCATACCAAGAGTCTCTTTGGGGCATTAACACAGAACCAGCGCTTTCCATCCAATCACCCCCTTTGTAATTTCATGCTGCCATGCAACTGCAGCACACATCGCTCTCCCTCTCCAAACAGGGCTGCCCATCTGTTTATTTTTGCTTTATCACAGCCTCTCCCCCAATACATAGGCTCTCTGCTCCCACTAGAGCTGAACGATGCTCCAAAATCATTGCAATGTTTGCAAAACAGACTGTAATTTCAATTCCAATGCTGCTCTCTGCTTCCCCAACCCCTCCTTCCCCTCAGACTCTTCGCAATTGTTGCCATCACCATCTCCTCCCCTAGGTTTTCCTCCAAGGCTCATGAGTTCTTGCAATAAAGGAAAACATGCTCATGATAGCAAGAGTCAAAGCTTGCTTAAGGGGTGACTAGTGAGGAGTCTGGAACCAGATATGCCACTGCAAAGTGAAACAGACATCTGACAGAGCAAGAGCATCAGTCTGCTGTCCTGCCTGCTCCCATACACAGGCTTCTTGCCTCCATGTCCAAAGAGAGGAAATCAACGGCATTGGGGAAGAGACAGACCAGTTGGCCGAGCAAATCCCAACAGCTCCTGGTTCCTGCCTTGCTACGGCTCTCATTGAGTGGGACTCCAGCATCCTTGTGTGCTGCTCAGCTAGTTTGGACCTGGTTTTTGGTGCAGGTCAGGGTGTCTGGTCTTGGCTTTGATATGGGAAGGGGCCAAATCTCTCATTGGCAGACGAAACATGAGGYTTCTTACTAGCCTCAGCATGAGCTTCTTAATAGCAAACTAAATCCTTTGTTCCCGAGGAAGGGCAAAGGAAAAAAGGGCTAGAAAGGGAGAAGGGACAATTTTGCTGTTGGAAAAAGAACAATGCAGTGAAGAAGGTACCACAATCCCGCAAGCCAAGTGTGTCCCAGCAGAGCCAAACGCTGACCCCGCTTGTCCTGCTGCCAGTAACCACAACAAATCCAGCCTGACCTTGAGCAGGTTTGGTCCCAGCCTGGGAGGAGAGGTGCAGCCTCAGCAGCTGCCATGCCCATCAAAATGGTCCTCTTCTCAAGAATACTTATTTTCCGGGAGTTTCAGATAATTGGATTTTAAAATACACATAATTAGTTTATTTTCTTTGCTTCACACCATGAATGCAAGGCTGCTGCTTGGAGCTCATGGAGACCTTTTGAAGGCTAAAAGAGAACACGTTCTTTTTCGTCCAGGGAGGCAAGGGGAGGGAGAGAGATGGCAGGGCAGGAACAACGTCAAGTAAAAATAACTACACTTGGCCTGGTGTTAATCCCAATTAAGTCAGTGGGAATTTTGCCTAATTTCCCTCAGAAACAACATCCAGGCACACATAGTGCCAAAAAAGTTTGCAGCTATATTAGTAGCCCTCTGATGAAAAGGAGATTCACCACTAGATACGTGAGGATAATCCCCGTCCTTCAGGTTGGCAGGTATTTGAGCCTCTCCTTCATCCTGGAAAGACGCAACCACTCTGATTTACTTTTCTTTCTAGCAAGTTTCCTACTCTCATTTTCCTGGGACAGTCCAGGGCTGGGAGCAGCAGAGGTGGGGGAAACATCTCTTTCAACATCTCTTTGGTAAAAGATGGCCAGGTCCCCATTTTTCAAAACTCGCCACTTTTCCACCAGTGCAACTCTCATCTGATTTAGCCACACTTACTCAAAGGAGAACTTGGCAAGATTTTCAGCAAAATAGGTTATCTACTTAGACAGCTTTGCATCAGCTGAAACTGAAGTGTAAGTGCTTTTGAGGAGGATATGGAAAGTGTTGAAGAGGAGAAACATTTCATTCTGACACTTCTCTAAACAAAAAGCATTCTGTCTTTTCGCATTATTATGTTGCCTTATGGAACTAAGCGTAGTTTATTTATAAATGGGRRAAAAAAAAAGCCCAAAATGAAAGCAAACATCACATTTCTGGAGACAAATAAGATATTACATTTCATCCTGTCATTAAAACTTACTCAAATCTTTGGGATTTGCCAACAAAATGAGAAGTCTTTTGCAGAGCTGCTGCGTCAAGTCTTTCACAGACATCTTTTAAAGTAGTTGAAACAAAATTTATCATAGTTCGCCTTTATGCAAACTAATTCCTGATGCAGACAATATTTTAACTCAGACATAAACTTTTTTTTTTCAAACCTTGCCCAGCTGGCTAGCTCCTAACTTGCACCTCACATATTTAAAAGAGAATCACTATAGAGGCCAGGGAGTTCTGAGAATAAGACACGGGCTGTAGGAAAAGATTAGATATACTGCTTATCTGAAAGGAAATCAGTCCAGCACTCAAGCGCACACATATATTTTACAGTTGAAACAGAAAAGGCCTTAGACCAAGGTAGTGCATTACCCAACACTACTCCCTGCACAGTCAGAGCCAAAGGMTGAGTTTTCCTGCTAGAAAGCAGGAATGGGAGCAACCTGGGGCAGCTCCTGACACCAGTTTCCTTCTTAAGCAAGGACCTTTGATCTCAGGGACATGCAAACCCAGATACTCCCTCCCTTTTCATCTTCTTTCCCCAGCAAAACATTATAGGTCACATTGTCTGGAGCGGTTGATGCTCTGGTTTCCAAGGCGAGCCCGTCTCTACTCGCGATCATTACTGTAGCATCCCAGGTAGTTTTGAGACTGGCAGTTTAAAGTGATTAAATCTAGGCTGGTAGCTGCAAAGCATTTCTGTGTTTACTTCAGTGTTTCAAAGGTACCTATCAAATACTCCAGGCACTTTACACTCAAACATAACACAAAAGATTAGCACCGGGCTCTCGCACGGAATTGCTTTCTGCTAGACACCTGCAGCTAGGCGAGACCAGCTGCAGCAGGCAACGAGAATAACACATCCGTGCAGGACGAGAATGCGCCTTCCTYTTGACAGCTCTGCAAACCAGAAGCCGAGTCAGAGCTCCAACATCACAGCTTGACTTTTCCCTCTGCTTTGCCCATGCTTAGAGAAGGAACAATGAAAAAAGGTCAAGAATCAGAGATGCAAGTGATGCCCTGCCACGGTGGAGAGCTACAAATTCTTCCTCTTGTATAAAGAAGAGAAAGGAGAAGAACAGCAATGTTCCCTTACCCTCTATTCAAAACCCTCCTTCTGGATTTTTTTTCTGATCTCCTCACTATTTCAGCATCATCTTTCCAATATCCCGTGACCATACTGGCTACCCAATTAGAATACTTTGCATTTTGTTCCCCAAACATTTCCTCTTTCTCAGCACATAGAAGTTGGGAATTTTCTAAGACTGCAGACACATCCCACGCATTTGATACCATCTGCAAAAAGCAAGGCTCTCCCAAACACTTCCTATGGCTGCTTTTCTCTGGGTACTAACTCTGATTGCTCTGGGGATGAATTGAGAAAGTTAGTTTTCTCCTCAGTTTGGATGAGCTAGGAGTATTTATTCAGCTTCACTTTATCAGAGATGCAAATCAAGCACTCCAGTTACATATTTTAACACAGTTGCGGGGAGGAAGATTTTTGCTAGATACAATGTTATAAAGTATTTAATGTATTCACAGTAATTAAGGTAGAAAACATTKAGAGATTAGTGAAAAATTATTAACAGGTGCCTTTGTCACAAAAATGACACTTTAAAGACAAATCTCCCAAAAATGAATTCCCTAAATACAAGAGTATGTCATTAATTATGCTTAGTACCCTTTTTATACTATTTCTATAACAGATAAGGAAAGTGGAGAAGAGAAGGAGGGTGAAAGAAAGAGARGCTTTTTTTGCCAGCCCCGAAAAGTTAGTTAATGGAACATTATGGAAATGAAACCCGAAGCTCAAGAATGTTCCCACCACAAGAGCAAGCAG